CTTACACAGACTTCCGCGTCGAGACTGTGCCCAAAAGTTCTCCACTATGTGCGCACAGGTGAAGAACAACATCAACCTCCTTTTCCTGCAGTTTGGCGAAAAATTTGGGTACGTTGTAGCCTAAGTATTTTTTGTCTAACCGGTCAACGCGCTGTCTTACAGTTTCAGCCGTCCTGAACTCTTCCTTCCGTCATTTACTCTGCGTCTGGTCTACAAGACACCCGTCTCTGCCACTGATGCCTTTTGGCTGACGCTGGCTGCTCTGGAATGTCAGGTAAGATTACCTCTGGATTTGCAGATAATCAAATTTCTTAGGGAAACGAAGATCCTGTAGAGAACTTCCACCTAGCAATGGACGCACTCACGTGGTGAGTTAAACTGCCCTTTGTAAAGCGGGCTTCTGACTACGCTGCCGTTTTACCGCTTGTCTATACATGCTTCTTCGCCTTCTTCGTAAACTTCGCTTCAGCCTTTGCTAGAACAGCGCAGCATGGCCTGCTTACCCAATGTTTAGTTGCAATTAAATGTTCTAGGCATTGGGTAGATGCTTTATTAAAAAAATTGCTTGACAAGCAGAATCCGTGCGCATAGTTAATTTGTCATTAACAATCTTCTTTAAAAAAATCCGTTGCCACCGTGCACGATCAAATAGCACTCAAAACCGGCCAGCAGAAAAAATCACGTTCCTGTTTGAGACTGAATTCTAATCGAGGCTTAATATTGATAATAAGGGTTTGAAAAGTGACGCATGACGGATAGAACTCCTAAATGCTGTCACCCAACTAACTTTGCGTCAGTTAAGATGTCCCCTGAGCGCCGTAAGTCAGGCAGCGAGTTTGCCTCATCAGAAGAAGCCGCGATCGCGGGAATATGACTTTCATTTGGTCTAACGTTTCGAATTATCTCTCGAACCCATCATCAGAGGCACCTACTGTACTGCCAACTTCTGTACCGCCAACTCTTTTGCAAAGCTTCTGTTAGGCATTTAAATGTTTTTCTCTTTACTACATAACCGTCTTTCCCCATAGTGTCCCTATTGCTCTATCGTCATGTGAACGGTACAAGTACCCTTTTTTGAGATTTAGCGTCGGGAGCCTTTTCCTCTGCGTATATTGTGTGAAAATATTCTTAAATAAAGTCGGAAAGGACATTTAGAGAGAGAGAAAGTTACCTTAAGAAGAAGGTGCAATCGCTGGAATATAAAGTTTCTTGGTCTGACGTTTCGGATTCTCGCTGGGACGCATCATCAGAGGCAGTCGCAGATAAGGATCACCTTGCCTGCGTATACCTAAGGCCTTTTGGGACTACAGGAAGGGGTGCTCCATGAATTGCGTCACATGCCAGGCATGTATGTCGCGTCGAATTCATGCTTTTTCATACACCACTTAATTATACGCACGCCAGTCATGTAAGTAATTGGGCTACTATGTATTGTCTTGCAACCGTTATGTTCCTCATTCATTGTTTGAGAGACATGCTGCCTGGCTCCTCCAGTTTTGGGATGGACTGGAGTTGCGCCAACTGCTTCAAGGGGTGTGTGCAACCGCTGAAGGATGAATTTTATTGGTCTGACTTCTCGGATTCTCGTTCGAACCTATCATCAAAGGTAGTCGCTGATCAAGTTCATGTCAGCCACTGTGGTCAATCTCATCCTTGTGGGATACTTTGAACGTCGCGTACGACGCTGCCCACCGGCAACTTGTGCGCGGCTAAGTTTATAGTAATACAGTAGTCGCCGGCTATTAAGCCCACGGTTAATAAGCCCAGCCGCCTATTAAGCCCAATTTGGTCTGGACCCGAGGTGGGCTTAATACCCGGCGACTACTGTAGTAGACTTGGACTGCGTCTACCACTAGCGTCCAATCTCACTCTCATTCAGCTTCAATCAATGCACTGTTAAGATATCTTTTTGCCAGCAGCCGTCATTCGGTATTCTTTCATTATTCTGACGGACCAAATGCAGTGATGGAACTTTTGTTCTAATTTTAGCTGGTCTATGGACTCTCTGGATGAGTCAATGGAACAACTGCAAGGCCAACTTCGGTGTTTGGTGTCACAAGTTCGGGCACTGCTGGATACGGATGAAGTTGTCGTTTTTGGTCCCTTCCTCTACGTCTACATAGCAAAGGTACCATATTTCGGCTTGATTCGCTTTATTTTGAGTTGACCCAATTGTGAAAAAACTCGAGGCGTTCGGCGGAATTCGAACCCGCGTATAAGAGAAGGCCTTTACCGGAAGCCAACGTTCTAACCGCTAAGCTACAAACGCCCTGACTCGCGCCATGAATTTACTCACACTTGGGTCGATATTACCCGCCCAACTTTGCCGCTCGTATGGAATCCACCAATACGGATTTGCTTTAGTTTTTTCAGGTATGGATGAGGGTCTGAGGAAGGATAATTAGGTATTCCCTACGGGGTGTGCGCATTCCACTAAAAAGTGTTGTTAGAATTCAGAAACTCAGGTCGAAGATGACTACAATTTTTCTCATAAAGTCCTCCAACATTCGCTTCGGACTGTAACAACCAGTCTGGTATCACACAGATGACATTGCTCCGAGCTACAGTCCCTCTAACTCTAAATACCAGAGTTGTGTTTGTCATAAACGCTTTACTTTGAACTCTTTTTTGACAAAACTTTTTGTTTTTTCCAACTTGCGGACTCACAGAGTTCCCTGCTGTCAGTGAACCTTCGGAATCCTCAGCTTTTGGGCTTGCTAGCCAGGTATATCCTGTGCGCTAAAGCAGCTGTTCGCAGCAAACTGGTAAGTGTCCTCAGAGTCACCCCTGCTACCAGTCCTCCCCACGTTCTAATCGTCTATGCTGCAATTTCTGTCTTTTCTATCAAAAAGCTGTATTTTACAAAATTCGGATTTTATTTCATCAAGTATCTTTCAAAACAATTCCTCCTGTGTTGCAGGTCACCACTGTAAACGTATCTCAGATAACTCCCAGAATTTGCCAACCCACTGTCCTTTGAAGTGGTATCCATGTCCCACCGCCTTAGCAACTCCAAAACCAGTCATGATGGTGCGCATAAGATCATATCCATCATATGAGAGTCACATTCGCCGAACCGTCCTACTTGCGGGACGAAAATGGACCTAGATCCCACACTCGCACCACCCCCTCCTCCCCTGTGTGTAACTAGGGCATGGCTGATTGATGACGGACAATAAGCCCGAAATGGTTATCCCAATGTCCTGGTTCTTGTCGCCAAACCCTCCTCCATTGAACAAGGCAAAGACCACGAGACTAGCAGAATTTAATGACGTCATGCAATTTCGTGACCTCTGATTCTCAATTGAATCACTCTGCCCAAAAAACCTAAGCAGCTGCCGCGCCAACCTAAATCGCGACACCAAGTTAGTCGGTAATAACATTCTTTGCAGTAGTCCTACGGATTGGTGTTGCGTTTTTTTGGCGAAAAACACAACATAGCACCTAACTAAGGGAACAAGGGACAGGTCTGACTGTAATACGGGACCCATGGTAATTGGGATTCTACGAGCGGGACTATATGATGGAAAGGAGTACACGATAAAAAGTTAATGTGAAAAGAAGTTTGTATTTTCGAAAAAAAATATTTTAGATTTTGAAAACCACTCAGGCATTAAAAAAATGCGGTTAAACAACGCCAAAATACCAAGGGGTGAAGGACTATATTGTCGAAATACCGTGACTGCAACAATGTCGCTAAAATACGAACGACTGAAAAACCCACTAACCGACCGAAGAAATGTATGTTCAATTCTTGATGCTACCTAAAGCAGCCCTGTAGAGGAAACCAACGTGGTAGCGCTAATTCTGAGTCAGAACTTGTGTGAATGCAGGAGAACGGCGGTACTCGCTTAGAAGAAGATGCGATCACTGCGCATTGTTCAGACTATCTTACCATTATCTATGATTAGGGATTCTTGACAGAATCCGAAACGTCAGGAAAATAAAATTCTTGTTCCAGCGATCGCTTC